AGCAGCGAGAGAGCGAAGCCTCCTTCTCTTCTCTTCCCCCCCCCCCGTCCTTGCAAAAATTTTCTGCTTGAAACCGGTCCCTGGTACAAAAAAGGTTGGGGACCACTGATTTACCTTATAAGTGGTAATAATATTAATAAAAAAAAAGTTCTGAGCTACCCTTATTTTGCTTCAAAGTTTTTATTTAGAAATTTAATTTTTTTTCCTGAAATTTCCCTCTTAAAATGAAGATGCGTGTTATACGCCTGTGCGTGTTATACGCCGATAAATACGGTACTTTTTCTGTTTCAAACAATTCCTATGAATTTAGAGAAAAAATATTTTTGAGCTAAATACAACAATTTTGAAAGAAATTGGAAAGGAAAGAAAATTAGAATAAGACTGAAAATGTTGCAAGAATAAAAAATGGAGGATTTAGGCTACCAGATTGGGAGTTATATTACTAACCATGTGTGTTAACATGGGTGAAAGAATGGATAACTCTTAGACATAGAAAATTACTGTATTTAGAAAGTCATGATCTCCAGCTAGGAGGGCACGCTTTTTTATGGTATGGTAAAAACAAAATTCATAGCTACTTCCAAAGACATCACATAAGGAATGCTCTGTTTTTAATATGGGAAAAGGTGAAAGCAAAAAATCTATATGAAAATACCAGGATGGCTTTCAAAAATGGAACCATTTGTTCACCCAAATCTAGTAAACTTGGAGAAAATATTAAAAATATATTAAATGTGGAAGGGAAACTATAAACTAAACAAGACTTGCAGAAACAGGCTGTTATCATGGTGACCACAAATGCAAATGCAAGTGAGATAGACTTATGGTTTTTATACAAAGCAAACAACATTTGATCAAATATTGTTAACGGTGGATAAGTTAATTAAGACATTATATAATTTTCTATTAAGCCTAAAAATGGAAGATGAACAGGTAAAAGAAACACAGCTTTAAGACTTCAGCTCCAGTCATGTTGGCTCAGGAATTCTGGGAGTCCACAAGTCTTAAACTTGCCAAGTTTGAAGACCCTTGATATAGATTATAAATCAGAATTATTGTTGTTAGGCATATTACCAGAGAAATACGACAGAGGGAATGTATATTTAATATTACATATTTTGACTGCAGCAAGAATTATATTTGCACAACACTGGAAAAATGAGGACACAGAATATTTTTGAACTTGGGATCTATTTTATCAATGGTTGGACAATAGAGATAGAAATTAGGAGTTTAATAATATCATGTAAACAAATAGACTCAGACAGTACGCTATTTACTAAGCACTTATTGTATACAAAGAGAAAATATATAAGTAAAATTAAAAAAATAAAAATAAAATTTTAAATCTTGCTTCTCAGAAACGTATCAAAAAGGCTTTGCAAAAAGTAAATTGAAATGAACTGACAAAATAATCATACAATTCAATTTAATTCAATTAACTTTTTACAGATCTAACCCAATGTTTTCTAAACTGCTTTTCCTGTTATATTTAATGTACAATATTTGTCTATATGTTGTAGTTACTATTCAGAAATACACAATTATATTGCATACATACTTACAATTTTTTAAAAATAAAATTATGCAACTGGTTATTATATTTAACTATTATTTCTATGTACTAAATATCCTTTCTGCAATTAAAAAGGAGCAGTCATGTTGACTTTAAATAACAATTCGTGATATAGTTTTATTTATTTACATGTAATCTTCAACTTATAACCATTCATTTAGTAATCATTCGAAGTTACGGCACTAAAAAAAGTTACTTATGACCGTTTTTCACAGTTTAAGAGCATTGTAGGATCTCCAATGGTTACGAGCTTGGCAGCTAGCTTATATTTATGATGGGTTGCAAATCATAACCCGGGGTGATGTAATCATCTTTTGTGACCTTCTGACAAGCAAAGTCTATGGGAAAGCCAGATTCACTTACAACCATATTACCAACATAACAAATGTAGAGATTCCCTCAACTAATTTGACAAGCAGTTATAAAATGGAGCAAAACTCACTTAACTACTGTCTTGGTGAACAACATATATTTTGGGCTCAATTGTGGACATAAGTCAAGGACTTTTTGTATTATACTTATATCTTGCCTTTATTTGTATATCTCAATGTAGCATACATATTGTTCCTATTTCTCAAATGTTATATCAACAATAAATATTATTGTTAATATAAACCATAGCCAATGACCTTAACAATTGCCACAAAATAGTTTATGCTTACTATAGCTAAGAAACTATGTTCTATGTCTTATGTTCTATGTATTGTTTTAGTTTTTTTGACTTTCAGTAATTCAAGTTGCAAGTCCATTCAGAGTCATTGGTAGTCAGGCAGTCTATAAAAGGTATAAATAAGGCTGTGAAACTATCTATCTTTCTTCCAAATTTATATTTCTGCTAAAAAAAAAAATTAAAGTTACTTTATGCTTTGGTTCTTGGTTATATTCTTTTCAGTCATTGTCCCTAATAATATTTATATGCACATATTTTTGTACAATCTGTATACTTGCTTAGTATTATAATGAATTATTTTTATTTTCCACTGATTTTAGAAAACATTTATGAAATTGCAGAAAATGCTAGTCAATGATCATAATAGTATACTTAACTGAGAAAGAAGATTTTCTGAAGCGGTAACACCAAAATAACTGCTTCTCTCTCCTCCAGTATTATCTTTTGGGCCAGTATTGTAATGTACAATTCTATCCAGCTTCTTTCTGAAATTTGTCAAACAGAAACTTAACATCTTACTGCCCATATTAGGTTTCCCATATTAGGTCTTTTCATATACTGAATTACATTCTTCAGGAAGAATGAACAGAGAAATATTCTGTACTTTTAACCTCCTATTCCTATAATAGCACTACATCACTCAAGTATGAAAAGGGTTGATATGAAGTATCTTATCTGGGTCTGAATAACTGTCAACCCAGCTGTTTTTGAGGATGATGATGATTAAACAAATCATGATTACACATGTGACAAGTTGAAACTACTTGGCTTGTCAAAGTCAATGTGTTTGCTTTTCTGTTCATTCCTACAAAAATTCACTGCCTATCACCGTCACCCCCACCCCGAAATCAGATGATTCAGATTGCTGACTTTCTTTCCTTCAGGACACAGATCCCTGGCCTTTAACAGTTCCTTATTGCCCTCAAAAAGCAACTCCCTGAGAAAGCTTGATTGAGATCTATCGCTTTTACTGGCTCCTCGATAGGTTTCAGTAGATAAGGGCAGACTTCAGCTTGGACTTTCCAGGTATAGGTCCAAGCCTTTTACTCGCCACATCCTACTCGCTTGTAGGGGGAGTTCAAACAACAAGGGGGGAAGGGGGGACGCAAGAATCTTCCAAAATCTTCCGAATTAAAGGCATTCATCCGGAGAAAGCATGTGGAAAGCCCCAAGAGGAGGATTTCTTTTTCTCCACACGGCCGCCTGATGCCATAGGACTACTAGCCCCGTATGGCCAGGGACGCCCGGTTTGCTTTGCTGGCCGTCGAAGGCGCGCGACAGTAATCCGAATCACCTTTTGCCAAACTAACCCCACAAGCGGGTATCCATAGATGAACCAAGCCCGCAGCAAGGGAGCAAGCGAGCTCTCTTGCCCGTATTTTTCAGCCGCCCCTCCTCTCATGACTCACCCTCTTTCTCGCCCAACTGGACAACACAGGCCAGAGGGCCCAGAGCGATTTTCAGTTTCTTTGCTTACAGGGAACCGGTAAGCATTACACAAAAGGAAGGAGGAGGTGGCGTCGTGAGCTCACATCCTGAGGAGGGGAGGAGACGTAACCCGGGAGGTTGGCCGGTTGTTTGAAGGCCGGCCTCGGCTCCGGGGACTGGGTTAAGAAAGCCAGCGAAGAAGCCGTGCGGAGAAGGGAGGATAACTTAGGGAACTAAGATAGGGAGGAGTTGGAAAAAGAGTTACTAGAGTACAGAAACGCCCGCGTTTTACTCTTACAACAACCCTGGGTGGGAGGAACGCCTGCGAGGCTGTGACTGGTTCGCTGTCCTCGGAAGGAACCTATTTAGTCCGCTTTTGCCAACTGCTTTTCCCACAACCTACATTTTGGGGTCTTCGTTGCTCAAAAGAGGACGAACTTCCACTACTAACACCAACTGTGCGAGACTCCAGGTTTCGTACTTAAGTTTATTTATTTATTTTTAAACGAACTTTATTTGCAAAAGATTAAAAAGATACAATGTACTTAAGTTTATTAATAAGGTCAATGGTCGATAACAAAATCACTAATGAACCATATTAACTATATTATCCGAATACAATTAGGGTAGAATTTAAAATTTAAGGCAAAGGAGTTTTGAATCACAAATACTTTATGAAAAAGCTAGATGTAATGATTTTCCAAAATGTTAAAAAGTGGTGGTGAGAATTGAAAGGGTTCATGCTGAAAAAGCTTGCTTTGAGGAGGCGAGGATCAAAGTATTAATTCTTAAACCAATTCCGTAAAGTAGACATTCTTTTCAGAACAGACAATAAAATGCTAATAATATGACCATTCCACTTCAGGAATGGGAGAGTTGAAGGCCCACACATATTGAAAGCCCTTCAGGCCTGGAAGTTTGCATTATATAATTTGCAACTATTAAATATCATATACCGTAATTATACAAGCATACATTATTTTTATTTGCAATATTCATACTTAATTAACCACATATAAGTGAAGCAAAATCTGTTGTTAGAAGAAATATCCAGATCCAGTTCCAAGCTGGGAGAAAGGCACTGGAGAAAAACAGGCTGGAGGCTGATTGGAAAGAGAGTCCATTATTGATGAAGCACCAAGCATGTGTGATTCTGGGCAGTTAACCACATGGAGTTGAGAGTGGAGGGTATTCAGACCCTCTTTAAAGTGAGCCTTCTCCTCTTAGGGAAGGAGGAGATAGAGGTCCACCTGAAGGGGCGCGCTGAGGAATTTGCGGATTTTCTGGAAGACAAAATCTCTTGACTTCGTTCCGAGTTAGATGCTGGCGTGGTTGCTGATCCAGTGGAAACTTCTATGGCAGGTTCTTGCCCTGTTATCTGGGAACGGTTTGACCCTGTTGCTCCTGAGGAAGTAGACAAGATCCTAGGGAGTATGCGCACGAGCACCTGTATTTTAAACCCATGTCCCTCCTGGCTTGTGAAAGCTTCCCAGGAGGTGACAGGCGGGTGGGGTGGACTCTGGCAGTGATTAATGCTTCTCTACAGGAGGGGACGGTGCCCCAGCAATTTAAGGATGCTGTGGTCCGCCCTCTTCTTAAGAAGCCATCGCTGGACTCCACCCGGTTGGATAATTTCCAACCTATCTCCAATCTTCCTTTTTTGGGGAAGGTTGTTGAGAAGGTGGCCGTGCAGCAGCTCCAGAGGTTTCTGGATGAAACTGATTATCTCAACCCCTACAGGATCCAGGCCTGGATTTGGGACAGAAACAGCATTGGTTGCACTTTTGGATGATCTCTGGTGGGAGCGGGATGGGGTAGTTCATCCATCCTTGCTCTACTTGACCTCTCGGCGGCTTTTGATACCATTGATCAAGGGATTCTCCTGAGACGGCTTCAGGGGATGGGAGTGGGAGGCCTTGTGCTGTCTTGGTTCACTTCCTTCCTCTGCAGCCGCTCTCAGTCAGTGTTGATAGGAGGGGAGAGATCCAACCCTCTCCCACTTCTTTACGGGGTTCTGCAGGGCTCGATACTCTGTCCGCTCCTGTTCAACATTTATATGAAGCCACTGGGTGAGATAATCCGTCACCATGGACTGAGGACCAATATGCTGATGATACTCAGCTGTATGTCTTGTCACATGGTGAGTTAAGTGTTGCTGTGTCCTCCCTCTCGCAATGCCTGGAGGCTGTTAGGGGCTGGATGGGGAGCAACAGGTTGAAACTAAACCCATGCAAGACCAAGTGGCTCTGGGTCTGGGGTTCGTTGGTTCAGGGAGAATTACCACCTTTAGTCTTGGATGGGGTGGCACTACCCCAAACAGACCCTGTACGTAATCTGGGGGTTCTCCTGAACTCACGATTCCTGTTCGAAGAGCAGGTGGTGGTCGTGGCCGGGAGGGCCTTTGCGCAACTGCAGGTTGTGCACCAGTTACACCCTTTTCTGGATCAGCAGTCACTCATGCCCTGGTCACTTCCCGTCTTGATTATTGCAACGCGCTCTACATGAGGCTGCCCTTGAAGAGCATCCAGAAGCTCCAGTTGGTGCAAAATGCAGCAGCCCGCATGGTTTTATGCAGACCACAGTGTGCACATGTATCACCTCTCCTGCAGGAGCTGCATTGGCTGCCAATTTGCTTCCGTGTGCAATTCAAGGTGCTGGTTGTCACCTTTAAAGCCCTTCATGGCTTGGGTCTGGGCTATCTGAGGAAACATCTCTTGCCAATGACATCTACCCGACCCATGAGAGTGAGGAGGCAGGGAATGCTGCAGGTTCCACCCCTGAGGGAAATACACCTGGTGGGACCTAGAAGAAGGGCCTTCTCTGTGGTGGCTGCATCTCTCTGGAACATCATTCCCCCAGAGATTAGAATGGCCCCATCATTAATACTATTCCGAAAGGCACTGAAGACCTGGTTTTGCCAGCGGGCCTGGGGAACCCAGAGAGGGGTGGAACCCATCAAATGGCTAGTGTGACCTGCTGTCATTGGGGTGAGGGGTGGGAGTTAGGTTTTTTTTTTGTTTTGTTTTTTCCCCTCAAATTTTGTTCTATTGTACTTTACTAATTTATTTGATTCTTTTTGTTAGTTCTTATTGTTTTTATTTTTTGTTTTAAATATGATTTTACATTGTGCAAGCCATCTTGAGTCACCATGGGCGAATAGGTGGCAATACAAATCAAATCAAATCAAATCAAATAAATAAATAAATAAATAATTTATATCTTCTCTTGGATTTTGCACTTGAACTTCCTACGTATATTGTTTTTACAGAATTGTAAGAAGACATACTAACCTATAAAGAAAATACATTGTATATGTTTCTAATCTCATGAGCTAGGCTGAAGCTTGAGAATTGTATGTTGGAGCTAGGATCAGAGGTGTCTACTATGTTAGAAACTGACCTTAACCAGAATTTACTGATCTGATAGTTATTCTAGAGATAACCCCTAGAAACTAGAACCATAAAAGGTAATTTGGAAATAAGAGCAAGGGGAGATAGAATTAAAGTAGTGGGACATGTAATGGGACAGAGATAATTTATTCATTTCAGACACTTCAGATATGTAGTGACATTATTATCAAGCCAATGAAGAAAAGGTGGGAGATAAACTTGTAATGGCAATAGAGAATATAAGGCTAATGTATTGATGATTTACGGTATCTCCACAGTACCTACATGTGAGTGGTCCACACTCACAGCAAAGTGAAGAATAATATTACCATTGTTTTCTCTTGGAAGTTTTGGCTGGTGATTGTTTATTTCAAAACCAGACAATGAGCCCTACTTTGTGAGTGGTTGGTGAGTCCTCTGTGCTTGTGAAATCTGGTACAGAGGTTAAGAGAAAACAATCATAAACAATCATAATCCTGGGGATTATAACAGTGAGCACTGAAGCACTGCAACCAGGCACAGACCAAGTGTGCACAGACCAAGGTAAGAAAAGTGGACTTAAGTATTGCCTTGGCTTAGTTAGGCACTATGTTGTTTTGAGATCAGGTTGACGGGATGTGTGGGACATACTTTGAGTACGAAGTAGGTGCAGAGCCTAAAGGGCAAAGCAGGTGGTTTGGTTAAATGGAGGAAAGATGGTGATCTCTAGTATGGGAAACAGGGCAGATAACATGCCAGAGCAAGAAAATGGGACCTGGTGGGGAGGGAAGGAGATATTCTCTTGGAGAGGAGATGGGATCCTCTGAACATTCACAGACCAGCGGTCATCAACTGGTGGGCCAGGGCCACGAGAAAATTTTGGTCTACAGCAGCGGTCACCAACCGGTGGGCCGCGGCCCACCGGTGGGCCATGAGAAAATTTTGGTGGGCCGCAGAGAAATCTTACCCCCAGAGCACCCCCACAAAGCAATTAATCCAGGCTGCGCAGAAACACAAGGCGCTGCCACCCACATGGCCCGCAGGAACCCTCCCCACCCACTCACTTCTTATCAGACAAACTTGCCTGCTAAATTGCTATTTTTCCTTTTTCCGACCATCATCTGTTCTGCTGTGCGGGGAGATTTAGATTAGCTAGAAAGCAGGAAATGGTTGAATGAACTGTTGTAAGTCAAGGATTACCTGTACAAAAATACAAAAAGCTTTGTTTGCAAAAAGCTGCCCTAAATACCAATCATTAGATTAGATAGGGGGAATACACACTGAAGATCAATGACAGTCACAGCCATCATGGAAACCTAAATAATTCTGTCCAAATACCTTCCTTTTCATCAGCAATACCTGCAACCCAGAGTTACAATTCAGGCAAGGTGCCAGAGCACTTTGAGGAATTGAAATAGTTAAAATACATTCAACTCTTGTTCAAAAAGTGAAACCCTTTAGAAGAGAGGTCATTTAAATTCTCCAGAAAGTGGGTGGACATACTTGGGCTACAAAATGCCAAGCTAAAGAGACAAATTAACAAAGTATATAGGGAACCCAGGTTCAAGTCTCTGCCCTCCCAAGCTTGTCAAGATCACAATACAATTAATACATGCCACAGATATTTAAATAAACTTAAAGCCTGTGTTGGAAGAAATATCCATCTGGTTCAATTCCAA